GGTCTAGCTTTCTGAACCTGGCTGCCAAATAAACTTTTCCTGTGTCCTGAGAAGTCTAAAGCTGTCATTTTCTGCAACACTATTGTATTGTGTTGTATTCTCAATAAAGCAGAAACAGGATATATAAAGAAGGTTAATCAACAATAGCCATTGAGCTGAATTCATCTTAATCACATTTCTCTTAAACCCAAATACGCCAAGAATTCTAAGTCACCTTTACAAAACAGTGTTTTTCAAACTTGGCAACTTTAAGAGGTGTGGACTTCAAGTCCCAGAATTCCCCAGTCAGCAAAATCAGGATGGAGGCCATGTCAGTGAGATTAAAGCTCTGTGATACACACACACACACACACACACACACACACACAAGCGCAAGGCTTAGTTTGCACTGTTTTGCCCGCCATCTTGACTCTTTTGACCACATCTTGCAGATATTCCTAAAAATGGCACTTCTTCGATGTATTTTTGGGATCTGAGTTTTTTTTTTAAATCAAATAATTGGACTCAGTACACTTCTGAGATCAGACTGGGGTTGTGCAGAAGTCACAGGAATAAATAAATATCTTAATTCAAAAAATAAATCTCTTAATTTTCTTGGCACACGGACCAGCATAGTTCAAATCTAATAACCGTGCAACTATTTTGCCAAGGAATTCAAAGTCAGCTTCAGGGAAATTGCATCTTGCGTTGATGGCTCGTGCTCTCAGACTAAGAGGAAATCTCTCCCAAAAAGTTTGGTCTAGCAGTTAGCGGTTAAGGCAACAGGCTAGAATTCAGGAGACTGTGAGTTCTAGTCCCGTTTTAGGCATGAAAACTGGCTGGATGCCTCTGGGTTAATCATCGGGAGACTGTGAGTTCTAGTCCTGCTTTAGGGATGAAAGCTGGCTGTGTGACTTTGGGAACTCAGCCCAACCCACCTCACAGGGTCGTTGTGGGGAAAATAAGAGGAGAAACAGTATTGAGTTTGTTCACTGTCTTGACTTAATTAGAATAAAAAATAAAAGTGGGATATAAATTTTTGTTTTAAGTGACATTTCCTCTTTTTGGTCCTTCAGGATAACTGTGTGACGGTTCCCAACTCCGGCCAAGAAGACGCTGACAGGGATGGGATTGGTGATGCGTGTGACGATGATGCTGATGGGGACGGGATAAAAAACTCCGAGGTTAGAACTCCTCCTGACAGTGACCTTCAGCCCATTTTTCTCCTATATTGCCTAAGACCCAAGAATCCTTATTCTGATTTCAAAGTGATCCATTTAGCAGGGGTGTCCAATCTTGGCAACTTTAAGGCTTGTGTGTTGAATTTATGTTTTACTGACAAAGAAATAAAGGGGGACTAGTATAGATCTTNCTTAGAGAGGGCTGTAAAGCTGTGTGAAGCGATATATAAGTCAAAGTGCTTTTGCTATTTGTTCTATATTGGTAGTTCTGACTTACGACCACAATTGTGACCAGAATTTCCATTGCTAAGCAAACCGGTTGTTCAATAAGTCATGCTCAATTTCCTTTTCATCATGGTTTTTAAGCGAACCACTGCAGTTGTTAAGCGAATCACATGAGAATTAAGCAAATCTGGTTTCCCCCGTGGACTTTACTCGTTGGATGCCTGCTAGGAAGGTCACAAATGGTGATCACATGACCCTGGGATGCTGCAATTATTGTAAATACAGGCTGGTTGCTGAAAACTTGAATTTTTATCATGTGAATTTGGGGAATGATGCAATGGTGTAAGCGTGAGGACCGATTATAAGTCATTTTTCCCCCAGTGCTGTTGTAATTCTGATGGCTGCTAAATGAATGGTTGTAAGTCACAACTAATTGTATGCATTAATGATCCAATTCCAAGAACAAGGCAATTTTATGCAGTCCTTCTTCAAACATTCTTAGAGGAATTCATTGTGCACAAAACAAAATGATTTATTGTGATTAAATTCATGTAAACACCCCCTGGAAATTAACTCCACATGGCTTAAGCAATCCTCTGCTGGTTTTACCAAGACAGGACATCCAAATTCCCATTCTGGAGGTCATGTAAATAAAATAGCTTTGTCTTCGGCTTCTTTAATTTTTTTTACATGAAAAATTTACTGGCTGTAATTAAGTCCGCCAACACCTCTAACTGCAGCAATAACATCTGGAGCAAATAGACCAAATGACAAATGTTGAACAAACTGCCAAGAAAATATTCTGAGGTAAATGAACCTCATTTTTAATTCTGCGCAGGCCTTTCAAATGTTTTTTTTCCCCTTTGGAACGAAGTTAATTCAAAATAATAAAACACCAAGAGGCCCAGTTTACTCTTAGCACTCCCCACCATAGATGTAAACACCATTTTAAAACTGAAATTGTCTTGGGATGTAACTGTTCACAAATAAACAGGATGCAGTTATAACTATGACCCAACCATTTCTGTGTAATTAAGGCATCCCAATATTTATTAGCTTTTAAGTGGGGTCAGAAGAAGCCTTGAGTTGAAAACAGAGCTGAGTTGTGAAGTTTGTTACTTCAGCCAGCAAGTAAAGCTGGGATAAACTTCATGGTTATTTGAAAGTGTGGAAAATTAAATCCACCTTTCTCGATTTATACCTGTACAATTGGGACAATGAAAATTTTGCAGGATGTCTTTGCCAATTATATGCACTCAATATCCTATACCTTTTTTAAAATAAATACGATGAGAAACCTACCATAGGTTTCCTGCCTAGGCAGGGGGTTGGACTAGAAGACCTCCAAGGTGCCTTCCAACTCTGCTAATAAAGTAGAATAAAGTATGGATTACAAATATAAGAATGAAGACGTGGCATAAAAAGGATAGTTAGAAGCTTGCTTAAAGGAAATGTCATCAGCCTCTAACCACAAGATGTTCCAGCCAACGTCCCAATTGTACAG